GCTCTGCCATCCAAGGCAGACTTTGGCTACCCTGTAGCAGGGCACTGGGAAGCTAGGCCTTTCTTCTATGCCTCAGCCCACAGCCTAGCCCCTAGAACTGGGGCCTCTGGATAGGTACCATCCCTCTTTCTCAGGAGGTAATGAGGCCATGATGCTTGGAAAGGGCTCTTCCTGACATGTCACCTGGTGCTGAGTTTAGGGCATCTTGGGAGTGGAGGTAGGCTGTGGAGGACACTTCTGTGTTGAGCTCTTGTGTAGGTTTCCTATCTTCAAGTGTTTGTTACATGCAAGGCTGGGCATCTCAACTTTGCTGATTCTTTTTCGTCTTCACAGCAGTGATGGGAGAGATTTTCTCCATCTTACAGAAAGAGGTACGGAGATGGGAAGCAACTTGTTCAAGTTCTCACACCTTGCAGGAGATAGAGGTAGTGTGCTGAAGACTAGGCTGTCCCTGCCACTGTTGAACTTGCCCCCCAGCTGCTGTCCAGTTCATACCACTTCCCTGTGGCTCAGTTTCACTGTCTGATTGCAGAGGGGTATTGTACCAAAGTCAGAAGGCAGAGTGGTGTTTTAGTCTAACTCTACAGCTTAGGTCATGTGCTTTACTTCTTTACCATACCCTACTTAATTTGCTATACATTCTAGCCTACTGCCTGGCTCCTGGCCCTTCGCCTCTATGGGCTTCTGTGATCCCTGGACTTTCTGGTGTCTAGACTGCTTCTGCTTTCAGTCTGGAGTTTGGTGAGAAAGCAGGAAAGAGCACCCCCACCTCACTTAGCTGAGAGGTCTGGACAGACCTTCACTCCTCCTCCAGAACCTGTCTGCCTTTGGAGAAAGCTGGGATCACACTCAGCCTATCCCACAGGGTGTCGTGGGGGTGGATGAAATACAGTAAATTAGCACCTGCACATTGGTACCAAACTCTTAAGCTGGGCATGGCAGTTCACACCTGTAATCCCAGCACTTGAGAAGCTAAGGCAGGAGGATCACCATGAGTTTTAGGCTATCCTCAAATGTATGTAGAGAGTTCCAGGCCAGTGCCACCACAACCACCACCACCAAAATGACAAAGCAACAGAATAAAACCAAACTACATGCTCTAGACTGTTGTTTTACTACACGGAAGAGTGTTAGTTACTCATAGGATGGTGTTTATGTGAGGTACCCCAGGACTGCCTCTTGCCTCTACAAACCAGGCTTTGGGGCTACTTTCTGTCACCTGGACACCTAATGCTCAGCTTCAAGTTGGCCATCAGCATGGAGGCAGGAAGAAGAGGTGGGTGCTCCTGCCTGGGAGCAGAGGGAAGAAGCTATTGGCACCTGCAGCTGTGAGAAGCTGAGCCCACCAGTCTACTCAGTTGAGCTCAAGGCACCAGACGTGATTGCTAAGCAGAGTCAGGGGTGGAGTGCTTGGAAACAGTTATTACTCAAGGCTGTGCTCACCACCTCCTGGAAACCCTTTAGCAGCTGGAACACTGGCCACCTTCCTCTAAATGGCATGGTTTCTCTGGGAGTTGCACTCAGCTATGAGGCCAACAGATGGTGATTAGAACGTATCACTCTACGAAGCCAGCATTTCCCAAATGTAAGAGAAGCTTTGCTGATGTTTGAAGAAATCACTGCTTCCATTTGGCACCGTAGGACAGGATAATGGACCTTTGAGCCCCAAAGCAAGGAAGTGTCTATCTCTAATGCACACTTGTGCCCCAGGACTCTAAACTCTGTGTAGTGCTTTATAGATGTGCTCCCTATTATTCTATAAGTGTTGAGGGACTCATTGTTCTAGACTTTGAATCCACTGGAAAAGACCAAAGACTTAATTCGAATTTAGGTTAAACGATTTATTTTTACTGCTAGAAGGACAATAGTCTTATAGCCAAATCAGAAGCCTGTCGTGCCAGAAGGGTCTATGGAAGCATTTATAAATGTGAACATCAAAGATGAACATTAAAGGTGGGCATCACAGTTATCTCACGCTCTATGGAATCCACAGCTGGAAGAGGAAGAGGCTTCACTCCCCTGGGTTGTTTCTCATCCCCATTATACGAAGCAGTAATACCATTTTCCTTATCTCACATGGCTAACACCTGCAGGCCACTAGGATCTCACAGGCATTTCAGGACAAAAGTCAACAGTTATTAGATATGCCTAGTACTGGGTTAATAAGTTCCTTAGCCATCACAGGGGAGTCCTGTATAAATTGTCACACAAACCAAATCACCCAGGGAAAACAAAAAGAAGGGTCATTAACGACTGAGATAGAGTAGTTTTTTCCGGGCATAGTGCCATCAAGTTAGGGCTGGCTGTCACATTCCCACAAAACTGAGCACTGGGCTAGAGGAATAGGTGATTATAGACCAGCTTTAGTTGTTTTCTCTCCCTTCCCACCCCTCTTCTTTTTGAGACAGGATCCTATGTAATCCAGGCTGGCTCAAACTCACTAGATAGCTGAAGTTGCCATTACTAATCTTCCTACCTCTTCCTTCCTTGGGTAATAAGTTATAGGTATATGTTATCAGGCACTGCTCAAAATTCTACGTGATTCCTGGGTCATTGCTGTTGTCTATTTGTTTTTTGTTGTTTGTTTGCTTGTATTGTCTTGTTTTAAACAAAGCATTGATGTTTAAACCACATTCATGTCAGACAAACACTCCATCACGGAGCTACCTCCCAAGCCAGCAGGGGAGTGAACAGTTACTGTGGCTTGTGCCAAGTGGTACAAGGGAACTATGTGGGGGGCTGTGGGGCGCTATGCAGTGGGTTCCCACAGAGGCTCTGAACTCCAGCTGCTCTTAGCCCACACTCCCCCTCAAGTTCCTGTGCTAACAGCTTTGCAGCTCTTGCTGCAGCAAAGACACTTGCTCCCTCACTTTCCTGTTCCCCATGCTTTAGAGGAATGGGGAGAAATTTCTCGTTACAAAATACAGGGGCCCCTCCTGGCATGGCCCAGGATTGGGAATCCCAACTATAGGGATGGGTGACTTGGAGTCTAAAGTCTCTAGTGAATTTTCTGTTGGGGTTTTTGTTGTTGTTGTTGTTGTGTTTGGTTTTGTTTTTGAGGCAAGATTTCTCTGTAGCTTTGTAGACCAAGTTAACCTCGAACTCACAGAGATCTGCCTGCCTCTGCCTCCTGAGTGCTGGTCTTAAAGGCATGTGCCGCCACCACCTGGCTGGTTTGTATTTATAACATTTATTGCGATGTTTTTCCTTCTTCAGTTACAAACTTAGAACATGTTTAAGGAAGGAAAGCTAGACAATGTAGAGAAAGTTCGTAAAATAAATCATCAGTCAGTGCTTTCTCTCATCTGGTAGCTGTCTAAGTACCCTCTCTTCACATGGGTATGTTTCTCCCTGGGCCTGGGGTCCTTGCATTTGTGTATCCTGGGAGCATGCTCTGATGCTATCTGCTGTACAGGCAGATCTACCATCGGAGTGGGTAGGGGCTGCCACCTCCATTTGTCCTGCCCTGTTAGGCAGAACCTGGGTGCTGTGGTGGCAATGTGAAGGGGATAAGTAAGACCTTTTAAATTTTCAGTTATTTTGTTTTGAGACAGGGTCTCACTATGTAGCCCCAGCTGGCCTGGAATTTGTTGTGTAGACCAGGCTGGCCTCAAACTCAAATCCCTCCCTTGTGCTAGGATTTGCCTGGCCCTGGCCAAGGTCTTTTTGTTTTTAAAGATTCTTGGGCTGAAGGGATGGCTCAACTGTTAAAGGCTAGGCTGACAACAAAAAATGTAAAAAAAAAAAAAAAAAAAAAAAAAAAAAGCTGCTTTGACAGACAGACAGACACACACACACACAAACACACCAGGTCACCAGCCAAGATGCAAGATGGTAGCCAGACATCCTGTTACTGAAAATTTTTGAACTGTGACCTAGAAAGTATCTGGATCACAGATATAGCTTCATACCCCCCCATGTCTGTCCTCTGTGTCTCACACACATGTACACACAAGAGGGACACAAATAAAATTTGAAATTAAATATACAAGAAAGTAACAGAACAAGAAATTAAAAACAAGCAAACAAAACACCTTCCTTGGGGTTAAAGAAATAAAAGGACCCAGGTATGGTGAAGCATACCCTTAATGCTATCATTTGGGAGGCAGAGACAGGTGGAACTCAATGAATTGGAGGCAGGTGTGGTCTAGTTAGAGATTTCTAGGACTATGTAGAGAGACCACGTCTCAAATAAATGAATAGAAAAAATAATGTAAACATAAAGATGATTAACTTGGAATAAAACAAGTGTGTGTGTATATTTTGATGCCCATCGGGGTCAGAAGAGGGTGTCAGATCCCTTGAATCTAGAGTTACATGCATATAGGCCTTTGTGAGCTAGCTAGGCAGAATCCTGTTTCAAAAAAAAAAAAACCAAAACAAACAGAACAATGGAATAGAAGCCCTTTTCTGTTTTGATCCTCACTACCACCACTCCCCACCTGCCCCAAAGAGTAAGAACACATTCAACTCACTGTCCCACATGTACACACCTATCACTTCAACACTGAGAAGGAGATTTTGAGGCCAGTTGGGACTACATAGGGAAACTGTCCCTCACAAAAAAAGCAGCAGGAATATATGCAATTGTTTGCTTCATATATTGCAATCTCACAGTATTTTTTTTTTCCTAGCTGTGGAAGTAGCTCTGTAGACCAGGCTGGCCTCAAACTCAGATCTGTCGGCCTTTGCCTCCTGAGTGCTGGGACTAAAGGCATGCGTGCACCACCACTGACCTTGAAGTAGCTGTGTGGTGTCTTGGCACACTGATACCCAGGAATTTAACTTCATCCCATGTAGACAGTTAATTCCACACAGTATCTTTTACTCATTTGAATATATCTCTGGTACCAATTCCTGAACATTGGGTTCACTCTACAGATGTGCTCATTTCATGTTAACAGATTGCAAACTTGTCTCCCCAAAGAGTGCTCCAGTTTACAGCCCAGAGTGTGTCTGGTTCTAATCTTGTTTTTTTTTTTCTTCTTCTGGTTTCTTAGACTTTCCACACGGATTAATCAAGAGTGAAAAATCTGAAGACATGCAAGCAGGAAAAAGAAATTGAACTAGGTGGGTAGCTATGCAGTTCACACCTCTGTGCCATCACATCCCGAGTTTGTGTGCATGTCTTTTCCCTTTCTCTTGCTTGAAAGAAAGTCAGTAGGTTGTAGATTAAGTTCAAGGGGGTTTCAGTCGCCTAAGGAGGAGGGTGGCTCTAAGCAGCAGTTATTTAGCTCATGCTGCAGTGTCACATGCTGCATTGTCACGGGTCTTCCCAGTCAGGCGCTGTCTTCATGGCACCAGACAGACATCTTCCTTCCGGTGCCTTAGCAGGGTTCTTCAGCCATAGACCCAAACAGAAGGAGTCATATGTAGCTGATCAGCAACTTTGGGTGTGATGCCAACTTTTTCTGTATGTATCTGTTATAAAGACATGTTCACAACAACCAGGGCATGTTATGGGAATTGTCATTTTAAGACTGTTAGAGTTACCAAAACAAGCAAAGCCCAACCTCAGTGCAAAGAAATGGCCACAGCCTAGCAGTCTTGTGAGAAGGGATAGGACAGGCACCTTCCATTTGGGAGGAAACTACATGCGCATGCACAATATGAACGGGCTGCCTAGGGCTAGTGCTCTCAGTTCTTATGATAGTCAGGTGTTCTGTCATAGAAGTGGCAGACATAGTCCTTGCCTTCAGGGAGCTTGCATCTGCTGGACAGATGAGTAACTGTTGTCTGCACTAGGTGCAGAAGCAGGTGAGAAATGGTCTGCAGAGGGGTGTGCCAAACAGGCTGCAGCTCCAGGGCCTCTGGAGCAGCACTGAGAAGGGCCAGAGGACGGAGAGGCTGGGCATCCTGAGGATACAGGGAATACAGAGAAGGAGCTGAGTCTGCAAATGGCTGTGAACAGTCCAGGCTTATTTACCGTTATGGCTCTAAGCAGAAAGTCAGGCTTAGAAAGGTGACCCTTCAGAAAACTGGGCCAAGTTAATTTCCTTACCCTCTGCATCTGCTCTCATCCCCTCTCCTCAGGGCCTGTGCTCCTCCTGACAGTGGACCCTGATGAGGGAAAGTCACAGCCTGGGGAGGTGATCTCCTTGGAGGGAATGAGATGGGACGGTGGGTAGAGTCATCTAGTGTAAAGTAGAGTAGCCCAGTACAGGTCCCTTCATACCTGTGAACACCAGCTGCCTCGTCTACTAAAGGATAGTAGGCATTACTTTTCTCTTGTTTCATTCCACTGTGGATATTTTACATGCCCAATTAGGGCTTCGAATCCCTCTGTCTTGTTGGTCACATAATGCTTTGTTGAAATCCTCACAAGGATACTGGGCTTTCACCCAGGCTGTTTGTCCTGTGTTCTCTCTCTCATGATGTCATCTTTAGGGAGGAGTGAACAAATGCTGACTGAAGGCTAGGTGTGTACTTGGCCATGGCCATAACCAAAGGCTTTTAGAAATAGTATTTGTTTAGGCGAAGTCACGTATTAGGATAAAAACACCATGCTTTGCTGTGTATATGTAGACCAAGTTGGACCCAAGCTCACAGAAATCCACCTGCTTCTGCCTCCCGAGTGCTGGGATTGCTTAAGTACTACCACAACCACTTTACTTTCATGATTCTTAATCTCACTTAGTTGAGTCTTGTGAAATACCCAAATGTTACAGATAACCAAACAGAGGTCCGAAGAGGTGACACCAGGTGAGTTACAAGAGCCCATATCTGACCACTGTAGAACTTACAATCCTGTAGACAGTTCAGAAATGTCAGAGGCCATGGAGAAACAAGAGATACAGCTCCTCTGTGTTCTCTTGGTGACTCACATCAACTAAATCTGAGCTCTGGGGCAGCTTGTCCAGTTAGTGTTTTTCCTAAGACCTTTTCTCCAGATACCTTGAGGCCACCTCTCAGCCTTGGGGGTGAGTTCCTTGACAGCTCGGAGTGTGGCTGCTTAACTCCCTGAGTGGTTTCCTTTTGGCCTGCAGCCTTACTCCCAGAGGAGGCATTGTTAGTCCTGTGAGAGAAAGGGACAATGCCTGCCCTAATCTGGCATGCACACTGAAGGGGCCCTTCATCTCAGGAGGAGCTGTGGCCATTAGTATGATGCCCTTGAGTGGAGTCACTGGAGCAAGTAGAGAGGGTCACGGGTAGGAACCCTGTTTGTTCATGACTGTATCTGTGCCACACCATCTAAAGAATCTGCCTGATAGAATCAGTGTGGTCAGTGTCTCCACATGACCCAAACAGTGTACATGTAGCACTGTCCTTATCAGAATTTTAGTGGCATTTCTCCCAGAAACAGGTATGTGCTTGGCCATAGCCACAGCAGGAGGGTTTCTAGATTTGTTCTAGGAAGATTTTTTTTTTTTAGGTTAAAAAAAAAAAAAAAAATCCTAGGCTGGGCAGTGGTGGTGCACACCTTTAATCCTGTCACTCAGGAGGCAGAGGCAGGTGGATCTCTGTGAGTTCAAAGACAGTCTGGTCTACAGAGCAAGTTCCAGGACAGGCAGTTACACAGAGAAACCCTATCTCAGAAGGAAAAAAAAAAAAATCCTAAAACTTATGGAGCCATAAAAGACTAAGAATAACTAAAACACTTTTGGGCAAGAAGAGCCGAGCTGAAGGTACCGCAACACCTGATTTTCAGTTATATTACAAAACAAGTAATTAAAATGGTGTAATGTTTGCCTAAAAAACAGACATGTAGGCAGGCCAGTGTGCTGGAATAGAAAGTCCAGAAAAAAACTCACATATGCAATGTCAGCTAATATTTGACAAAGGTGTCAAAAATATGCAGTGGAGAAAGGGACAGTCTCTTTAATAAGTGAGAAAGCAAGATGATTCGTGAGAGTGGTATGTTTCTTATACCATACATAAAACCCAACTAAAAATGGCTTAACATTTAGATGTAAGACCTGATAGCCAGGGAGATGGCTTGGCATGTAAGACCTGATAGCCAGGGAGATGGCTTGGCACTTTTTTCTTGTAGCATGAGGACCTGAGGACTTGAGTTCGAATTCCCCCTACCCACATAAAAAGGGTGCATGGGTTTGAGGGCCTATAACCTTAGCACTGGGAGGTAAAGTCAGGTGGGTCCTGAGAGCTCACTGGCCAGCCAGCTTAGCTCAGATGGCAAGCTCTGGCTTGGGGGAGACCCTGGTTCAATGCAGTAAGTCAGCCTTTCTTTGGCTTCCACGTGTGTGTATGGATACATGCACTACCCCCACCCCTTCCCCCCATATCCGGAAGCTCTGCAGTGCTAGGACAGAGGAGAAAAGCTCCATAGAATTGGTCTTGGTAGCAACTTTTTGGATATGTCATCTAAGGTACAGCAAAGCCAAAGAAGTGTGACTACACAGCAGAGGCAGAGGAGACAACAGATAGAATGCAAGGTGGCCAGCCGAGTGAGAGAAGTCACTGTTTTCATAGTTTTCCTTAGAGCATTAAATGTGCCTTTGGCCTTTGGAATTTGAGAACTTTTGATCTAGAGGGAATTCACAGTCTAGTGGCCCATCTGAACTTTCAGGTACCAGGATCATGGGCTGAGATAGGTGACCTAATACTGCTGAAGCTCATGGCTGCCCTGTGGGATGTTCCAGACTCCCATCATTGCTGGAGACCTGCTTTGGTGGGGGTTCAGGTCCCAAAGAGAATGTAGTGGGGGGTTGGGGGAATGGATGGACATGATCTGAATTGGGATGGCTGCCAGCAACCTTTAATCAAAATAAGACTATACCTTTTATATTCTATAGTTGCATATAGGATTAAACAGGAGACAAGGAACATGTGAGCTAGTGTGTAGCTTGTCATCAGGAGTTGACCTTGACAATAGATACCAGTCCTATGTTAATGAAAAAGCCGTAAGTTCCTGACATTTTAGTCTTTTTCCATTATACTGTATCATTCTGATTTCTCTGTATTTATTAGTTGAACTCCTGACCTTAATGGCCTCAGGCCCTGGATCTGAATTGTAGACATTTCATCCTTGGGATCAGGTGTGTCTAGTAAATCTCTAACATTCCTGTTCTTGGTGTATTAGGAAGGCACAATGGAATTCCTGATTCTACCGTGGCAGGATTTTTTCCAAAGAATTTTTTGTTTAGAGAGACTACCACTGTACATACATTTTTTATCCTTTCCCAAAGCCCACTCAAAATTTCCCAAAGGGAAAGGCATTAATATTGAGAATCATTAGAAATGAAAGTAAAAAGGCACGGGAGAAGTGTGTCTGCAATGTTGGAATGCTAGAACTTCATCAAGCAGCGATGGTTACCATGTGTTACATACACACCACATCATGAAATACACAAACTGGTTCTTAATTTCATTCCACTCAACACCTAAGTACTCTGAACATGACATTAGTTTACTGGTTTGAGTCTATGGAAAGACCATTGTGAGCAGCGACGTTGATTAATGGCAAGAATCGTGAGTTTGAGGCCAGCTTGATCTACATAAGGAGTTCCAGGACAGCAGGGCTACATAAGAGAAAGGCCCTGTCTCAAACGAAACAAAACAAAACAAAATTACATGGAGAGCTTCAGTTCAGTCTGGCTTCCAATACCAGGGGAACCATTGAAGGCATCATGTATACTGTTGTACTTCAACCTCATAACACCCTAAGAAAGCTGGAGCTATCATCTTCCACCTGGAGAAACTGGTGTACTGTATAGCTTGACTTGCCATAGGTTACATAGCCAAGTGAACCAGTCGGGTGCGTGACTAATGCATCTCTGCTCACCTTCCTTATTTTTAGGGAAAAGGCAGAAGAATAAGAAACTGTTTTGCATAGGGCATGCGACCCCATACACTGTGATACTGAGAATGTTGCCTGCCAGGTTACAGCCTGTATGAGAAGCCACAGAGTGATCCGAAATTCTGAAGGAAGGCTTAGGGCATAATACATTAATGTACTAGTCTACATGAGAAGGGTTTCTCATCCTTCTCATAATTAGTCGGATGTTTTCTTTCTACAGCTTTATGAATTCACCTACCACAGAGTTCACCCATTAAAGAGTTCAAGTCAGTGCCCTTCAGTATTTTCATATCCATCAGCACAATCAATTATA